ATAGAATAGAATAGAATAGAATAGAATAGAATAGAATAGAATAGAATGAACCTTAGAGGTCTTCTAGTCCAGCCACCTGCTCAGGCAGAAACCCTATGCCATTTCAGACAAATGGTTGCCCAATCTCTTCTTAAAACGTGTGAAACTTGCCAAATTCTTTATTGAGATCAAGGCGTATTACATTCATAGCATTCCTTCAGTCTACCAAATTAATCAATTCTGTAATGAAAAGAAATTAAGCTAGTTTGGCATAATGTGTTCTTGACAAACCAAAGCTAATTCCTAGAATGATAGATTCTTTTCAAAATTGTGACATTAAATGTGACATTAAAACAAACACATTTATAGAGAATAGGATTGTGCAACATATTCAGAGAAGACAGTTTTTAAAGTATGTTAGCACATACACAAAAAAAATCTTCAAAGCATTAAATGGGCTGCATTCTTGGAAGACTGCTTAAAAATGAGCTTTAAACATGTATTAAATATAAACTAGAGAAGAAACAAAGATAAAATTAAGGAAACTGGTAAAATGTTATTGTAGAGATTAATTTGAGAGACAAGAGTTTTTCATGACAGACAGGTAATAATCAACTTCAGGATCAAATTTAGGGGAAAAATAAAATGTGACAAGGATGAGATAAAGAACTGCTAAAATTAAACTGTAGTGGGTTTTAGGAAGGAATTGGAACTTCATGATAAAAACATATATCTACTGTATAAGCAGTTTATACAGCTAGAGTTAATTTGCATCTAGCCATGTATTGGAGAGCCTAGAACCTAGCCAGCCTATGCCATCCCAAGCATCCAGAAAATTTAGCTGAGACCTTGCCAACAGGTTTGGCAGTTATTCTACTTCATTTTCTACTTGCTGGTTATATGCTTGATCAGGAATTAAATAGTTGTCATTTTAAAGTGAATAAAATAAATGTCCTTTATCATTGTATATTGATAAATAAAATACCGATTAATGTAAAAGCATTGAGGGGACAGTCAAGAGAAATCTCTTTGTAAACTGAAGGTGACAATAGGTAGAATGAAAGTAAAAATCTGTAAAATGAAACGGTTGCATCTCAGAAGTCCATAATACTTAAAATCAGTGTGCCCAAGCAACAGCTGGAGGGAGTGCTGAGAAGTCCATCACCTGTTTGGTTGGCTAACATGATCTGTGATACAAGAGGGATGGACAGTATCTATTCTATTCTCTGGCAAATTGAAATAAAAAAATGACAAGTACAAAAAATGGAAAGAGGTACATACAACTTAAGGCAGAATATTAGCAGATAGCCAGAATCTGCAAAGACGAAGTCAGGAAAGCAAAGGTTCAGAACGAACAAAGACTTGCAACAAAAGTCAAAGATAATAAAAAAAGTTTCTTCCAACATATAAATAACAAGAAAAAAATCAAGGAAACAGTCGTTCCACTAAAGAGAGAAAACGGCAAGGAAGTAACAGGCAACAGAGAGAAAGCAGAAGTGCTTAACTCATTCTTTGCCTCTGTCTTCATGCAAAAAAAAACTATAACTCAACCCACCAAAAACATAACTGTAAAAGATAGAGCAGAAATAAAAATTAAAATAAACAAAAAAATAGTAAGAGAACACCTGTCTGATTTTGATGAACATAAATCACCAGGGCCTCTGGGAAACTCCCAGAGTTTTAAAGGAGCTGGCAGAGGTAATCTCAGAACCACTGCATCATATCTTTCAAAAATTCTGGAGCATCGGGGAATTACCAGAGAACTGGAAAATAGCTGATGTGGTTCCCATCTTCAAAAAAGGAAAAAAACCAGACCCAGGAAACTATAGAACAATCAGCCTAACATCAATAACCCGGAAGATACTGGAAAAGATAATAAAAAAAAAACAGATCTGCCAAAATCTAGAAATAAGTAAAGAAATAACTAGCAGTCAGCATGGATTTGTTAAAAACAGATCATGCCAAACCAATCTTATTTCATTCTTCAACATAGTGACTAAATTAGTAGACCAGCGAAATACTGTGGACATAATATATTTATATTTCAGCAAGGCACTCAACAAAGTAGACCACAACCTACTTC